AATAGCAGGTGGGGCTGTGGAACAGGAGGGCTGGAACGAGGAAGGGCAGGGATAGACCAGGGAATGGCAGGTATGGGACAGGGAAGAGCAGGAATAGACCAGGGAATAGAAGGTGGGGCTGGGGAAGGGCAGGGGTGGACAAGGGAAGGGAAGATGGGGCTGGGGAAGGGCAAGGATTGACCAGGGAAGGTCAGGGATGGACCAGGGAACAGCAGGTGGGGCTGGGGAAGGAGAGGGATGGGACAGAGATGGACCAGGAAATGGCAGGTGGGGCTGGGGAACAGGAGGGCTGGAACGAGGAAGGGCAGGGATGGACCAGGAAATGACAGGTGGGGATGGGAAGGGCAGGAATGGACTGGGGAACAGCAGGTGGGGTTAGGGAGCAGCAGGGATAGACCAGGGAATGGCAGGTGGGGATGGGAGTGGCAGGGATGGACCAGGGAATAGCAGGTGGGGATGGGAAGGGCAGGAATGGACTGGGGAACAGCAGGTGGTGTTAGGGAACGGCAGGTATGGAACAGGGAACGGCAGGTATGGAACAGGGAAGAGCAGGAATAGACCAGGGAATGGCAGGTGGGGCTGGGGAAGGTCAGGGATGGACCAGGGAACAGCAGGTGGGGCTGGGGAACTGGGGTGGGATGGAGAGAGGCAGGGATGGACCAGGGAACAGCAGGGGATGGGCTGGGGAATGGCAGCTGGGGCTGGGGAACTGAGGAAGGGAAGGGGTGGGATGGGGAAGGGCAGGGATGGACCAGGAAACAGCAGGTGGGGCTGGGAAAGGGCAGGGATGGACCAGGAAATGGCAGGGATGGACCAGGGAACAGCAGGTGGGGCTGGGGAACGGCAGGGATGGACCAGGAAATGGCAGGGATGGACCAGGGAACAGCAGGTGGGGCTGGGGAAGGAGAGGGGTGGGACAGGGAAGGGTGGGGATGGACTGAGGAGTGTCAGGGATGGACTGAGGAGTGTCAGGGATGGACTGAGGAGTGTCAGGGATGGACTAGGGAATAGCAGGTGGGGATGGGAAGGGCAGGAATGGACTGGGGAACAGCAGATGGTGTTAGGGAACGGCAGGTATGGAACAGGGAAGAGCAGGAATAGACCAGGGAATGGCAGGTGGGGCTGGGGAACTGGGGTGGGATGGGGAGAGGCAGGGATGGACCAGGGAACAGCAGGGGATGGGCTGGGGAATGGCAGGTGGGGCTGGGGAACTGAGGAAGGGGTGGGATGGGGAAGGGCAGGGATGGACCAGGGAACAGCAGGGGATGGACCAGGGAATGGCAGCTGGGGCTGGGGAACTGAGGAAGGGAAGGGGTGGGATGGGGAAGGGCGGGGATGGACTGAGGAGTGTCAGGGATGGACCAGGGAACAGCAGGTGGGGCTGTGGAAGGACAGGGATGGGACAGAGATGGACCAGGAAGCGGCAGGTGGGGCTGGAGAACAGGAGGGGTGGAATAAGGAAGGGCAGGGATGGACCAGGAAATGGCAGGTGGGGATGGGAAGGGCAGGAATGGACTGGGGAAGAGCAGGTGGTGTTAGGGAAGGGCAGGTATGGAACAGGGAAGAGCAGGGATAGACCAGGGAATGGCAGGTGGGGCTGGGGAAGGGCAAGGATTGACCAGGGAAGGGCAGGGATGGACCAGGGAACAGCAGATGGGACTGGGGAACAGGAGGAGTGGAACAGGGAAGGGCAGGGATGGACCAGGAAATGACAGGTGGGGATGGGAAGGGCAGGAATGGACTGGGGAACAGCAGGTGGTGTTAGGGAAGGGCAGGTATGGAACAGGGAAGAGCAGGGATAGACCAGGGAATGGCAGGTGGGGCTGGGGAAGGGCAAGGATTGACCAGGGAAGGGCAGGGATGGACCAGGGAACAGCAGATGGGACTGGGGAACAGGAGGAGTGGAACAGGGAAGGGCAGGGATGGAATAGGAGACAGCAGGTGGGGCTGGGGAAGGGCAGGGATGGACCAGGGAAGGGCAGGGATGGACTGGGGAACAGCAGGTGGGGCTAGGGAAAGGCAGGGATGGACCAGGGAATGGCAGGTGGGGTTAGGGAATGGCAGAGATGGAACAGAAAACAGCAGGTGGGGTGGGGAAACGGCAGGTAGGGCACAGGAAGGTGCTGGTAGAGCTGGGAAACTGCAGGTGTGCAATGGGAAATGGCAGGTAGGGCTCAAAAAGTGCAGGTAAGGCTTGGGGAAGTGCATGTATGGCAGGGATGAACCCGGGAACTGCAGGTAGGGCATGGGAAAATGCAGGTACAGGATGGGGAACTGCAGGTAGGGCTCAGGAAAGTGCAGGTATGACACAGAAAACTGCTCTCTGAAAATGGTTAATGCTCTACAATTGCTCTGATGGCAAAATGAGCTTGTGGCAAAACCTCATCAACCAGACACCATCTTTGGTGCTGAAGGCAAACTGAGTGTGGAAATGGTTTAATATTAATAATGGAGGAGGTTGTCATTGTTCTTACCTGAGGTCATTCAGCTTTCCTCCTCCAGTCAGTGCAGCATTTCCAGCAGGCTGGGACAGACTTGAGGGCCTATTTGTGTAAGTTGGAGGTGGTAATTCTGATATTCTCATCTTATCACTAATTTTGACCTTCCTAGACCTCTGAGAAGTATCAAATGAGTATTCAGGGTTAATAACTAAATTTGAGCAGCTGCAGCTTCCTGTCTGGTAGATGGGACCTTGAACAGCAAAGCACTGTGGCTTGATAGAGGACTGGATAAAACTCCAGGCCCTTGGATGGTTCTTTGCTTGCTGAAGTTGGTGGTTTTTGGGGGGTTTTTGCCTGCTCATATCTTTGTCAAAATGCAGGTTTTTGGTTATTTCCTGACAGGAGTGGTACGTCAAGGACCCAGAGTTCCCCTTGGAGAACTCCAGAGATCCAACACGCCGGTAGAAAAAGTTTATCGGTGAGAAACAATCCCTAACCCCTGCAGGGAACAGCTGCAGTGCTGAGCTGCATTTTCATAGATCTAATCTCAACTAGATCTTTCCACAAGGAAAGCAAGCTTTATTTCTTCTGTCTTGTTTTCTTTGGCCTTTATAATACCATCCAAACACCACTCTGGCTTATTTTATGTGAGACCCAAAGCCACCACATGTTGGGGACAGCCTCAGTTCCATTCCCCACTGGGTTTTTGAGTTCCCTGTGGTTGCTGTGTGCAGCTTTTAGCATTGTGTGCTCCTCTGCAGCCAGTCTGGGTCACTGGAGGGGGCAGAGGCAGGGCCAGTCTTACAGAACTGTATCTCTGTAGGGAGATTTGCCTTTCCATGGATATTTAGGCTTTGTACATGTTCCTTTTGCAGCCTCTCAGTGCTCGATTTCTCATTTGATTGTTCTGAGGATTTCGATATAAATGCTTTCCAAGACATCATTTCTTTTTGTGAGAACAAGAAGTAAGTAGCAAAAGGCCTGAACTGCCAGGCCAGGGAGGCACATTTCCAGGACACAGTGACTTTCTCAGTGTGCTCTGGGTGACAGTGAAGCCATGGAGCACTTAAAGTAGTGACTTCATGCTGCTTCCTAATTTCTGCATCCTGGACAGCCTCCATCCCTTGGGGAAACAAAGAACTAAATATCCAATTTGTGTGAAAGGATTGGTCACAGCTTACCAGATCTGTTTCCTTGGGATGTCTTAAATATTCAGAAAAGTTCAGAGGTACCCAGGGAAGCCACAACCCTGTGTAATAATGCTGCTGCCTCTGGGAGCAGCTCAGAATGGGGAGAGCACCTAAGAGTCAGAAGTGATTCTGACACTTCTGTTATTTTTGGTTTGTGCCTCTCTGGAGAGTAAAGAAGGTAAGTTCTGTGCCAGGACACAGCACTTCACAAGAGCACAGTGCATGCTTGAAGAATGGGACATGCTATGAATTAAGGACCATCCCAGGCTTACTTTGAAAAGCTAAACATGAATAAGTTTGAAATGGAAATGAAACCCAAAATTTCTTCAAGTACCCCTCTAACAGTGTGTTTATAACTTACTTTTCTGCTGTAAGTGTTTAAGTAGCCTCGTTTTAGTAGTCTAATCTCTGTGTAAAAATGTTTACTCTTGGTTATAAAGAAGCTTATATTAAACTGAAAAGGTTCCTTGGCTTAACCATAACCATTAACCTCTCTAAATTTCCCTTCATTTTTTGAATTGATGGCTCAAGAATTTACATTAGAAGGTAGAATCAGAGAGTCAGTTGGGTATGAGACTGGCAATTAAAATTTAGAGCACTGATGGAGTAGAAAGTGCTGACTTGTCATCCAAATCATTCATGTTTAGGAAAAAGTAGCCTGGGATTGACCTGCTGCATTTTGGAGCACACTTGGTGATGGAACCTTTTGGGGTTTTAACTCCTTTTTTCCCCCTCTCTCCCGGCTGTGTATCTCTGTTTGCCACCTGTGTTTTGCTGTGGATCATTTTAGAGACATGCATGAACAAATCATCGCCAGTATTAAAGGCCTGCCCTGGCAGGGTGATGATCCCTGCGAGCTGCTTCGGTCCCTCAGTCAGCTTCAACACCGCTCCCACCTCCTGTGAGTGCTCTGCCTATTGCTTTGCAAGTGCAACAAGAACCAGGCACTTTCTCCACTCCCTAAAAGTGATGCTTGTGCCAAATTTGTCTTTTGAAAAATGCCAAACAAGACAATTAAAAAGAAAACATCCCTTCTGGTAGAGAACGCCTTGCTTCATTGCGTTAGCTGAAAGTTAAACCCATTTCTCATGTGAACTTGCTTTAAAAGCTCCAAGTATAATATGTCTAATATTATATGTCTATAATATGTCTATAACATATTATAGACATATAATATTAGACATATTATACTTGGAGCTTTTAAAGTATATGCTTTATATACTTAAAGCTTAAAGTATAAGCTTCCAAATATGTCTATTATATGTCTATAACATATTATGTCTATAATATGTCTAATATGAGCTTATTGTTACAAAATATTCAATAGTGAGATCTCCCACAAGGTGTGACAAATGTTTCCTGAAATTCAGGGTGCTGGTGCTGGATGTATTCCTGAATTTAGAGCCTTTACATCTGCAGTTCTGTGTGTGTGTAAGGAAATTAATCTGTGCTGTACAAGTAAATGCAAACTGGGTGGCTCAGAGCAGAAACCTGCCCTATATCACAGAGTTAATGTGCTTAGAACCAGCATTTGAGCTGCAGCTTTCTTTCTGAGAGCTTCCCCTGCTTCACCTTCTGTGTGTCCTGCTCAGGCATTGCAGGGTCCCTGTCCTGGGACCTGCATTGTCCAACTGGGAGCACTTGGGTTCTTCCACAGAGCTCCTGGTGCCAGCAGCTGTAACTTCTGAACTGAGCACTTTTGCTAGGCCTTGTGTTGTAATGAGTTTAATGACCATACTAAAGAGAATAACTCACTCTAGAGTCACCTGTCCATCAATGCGGGTTTGAATAGCTTTAACTTCAGATGTAATGTTTCACTTTTGAAAGCTTCCAATACCTACAGAGTTTATTTAAGAAAAAGAAATTGTTCTTGTTGCAGAGCAGTTTGCATTTCTTGCATTGATGACTTGTAAGAATCGTGCATGAACACACCCTGGTGCTGTTGTGCTCATTTTCTTCTGTCCTTTACCTTGCCTCATAAATTGCACCAATTTATGGCTTGCTGAAATAATCAAAAATCATGTGCATTTTTTTTTCTTAAATTATCTTTAATATTTTCACAGGAAAAGTAAAGGTGTCAAGCAAAAGCAGATCATTCCCAAGGTAATCAGAAAATTTAGATTTCTCTTGTGTGTGGGCTTTTTTGCACTGTGAATTTCATTTTGATTGACAGAACTCACTTCAGCTCTGTTTTATAGTGTAGGAAAGTTGTGTAATTTATCTTGACAAGCTGAAAAATAGGTGAATGTTCTCTTTAATAAGAATTGTTTAATTAGACAGATGTGAAGATGTCATTAGTGTATAAAGTCATTTCCAAGTCAGGGAAGCAAATGCAATGATTGTGTGATTCCCCTTGTTCACCTTACACTCTTGGGACAGGGCAGTGAAACAGTTTCACTCCTAAGAAATGTTTTGACCCAAAATAGAAATAATCATGAAATATAACATGTCACTGAATGTGGAACTCTGGGTAGCTGGTTTCATTCTGACTCATTTCAGAGAAAATATTTCCCTTTTAGTTGAAAGACTTGCAGTTTGTTGATTGTGAAAACTTTTTTGTAGAACTTGCTGGATTCCAAATCTCTGAAGCTCATCATGAGCATGACTCTGCATGACCGGACTACAAAGTCCCTTTTGCACTTGCACAAGAAGAAGAAACCCCCCAGCATAAGTGCCCAGTTCCAGGTGGGTGACAAACCTCAGGGAACAGCCCCTGCTGGGCTGATCTGGGCTGGTCTTGCTTGGAAAACCACGTGGGTTTTATTCTTGAGGTTTTTTGAGGTGAGGTTTATGCTTGATGAAAGTCAGAGTACATTTTGAGATGCCATTGATGCCATGAAATGTCAGTTCTCTACACTGATCATCCTTGTATACAGATCTAGTGCTACTGTGAGAGCATGAGAGCATGTTCAAACCCTGCTTGAAATTCTCTTGAGAAAAGCTAAAAGCAAATACCAAGCACAGGGATGTGCTGAGCAATATGGCAGAATCTGTTTGGATTTTGTACAGCCATGAGACCTGAAACAACCTGATTCCTGAGGGAAAAGCTATCCTGCTGTCAAACACCAAATCACCATCAAAATGCTATCCTGAAGAAAAACTTTTGTGACTTTTCATTTCAGTCTTCACTGAACAAGTTGCTGGAGACGCTGGGCAGAGCTGAGCCATTCTTCATCCGCTGCATCCGCTCCAACGCAGAGAAGGTGAGGCTGCCTCAGGCTGAGCTGCCTGCTGAGATCCAGGCCTCAGCCTTGGAATCTCTGTTTCTGCTCAGGCTCTCACTGCTGTTTTCTGCTGGTCCTTTACAGAGGGAGATGCTCTTTGATGAGAGCTTGGTGCTGCAGCAGTTACGGTACACGGGCATGCTGGAAACTGTGCGGATCAGGAGGTCTGGCTACAGTGCCAAATACACATTCCAGGTACGTGGGAGCTGGAAGGGAGTTGTGCTTTCAGGAATGTCACAGAGAAAAATGAGGGCCTTTGTTGGGGCTGAGCCATTTGTCGGTGAGGGGAGACTCAGACACTCAATATGAGTGATAAGAAAATTCCGTTTATTGAAGAGAGCATCAGACACTTATACAGCGAGTAATAAGCTTATGAATATTCTGTAAGCCAAGCAATCTATTGGTTAAACTATACCATCAACTCTTCCTCATTCCTTAGGGGGGTTACATCTCTCTTTTCTCATGCCTCTTTCACTGTTTGTTATCCCACCACAGCTAGGCCCAAGGACACTGCTATCTTGCAGGTGCCGGACTTGGAATTAGCCATGGTTTTGTACTTTTCCATTTTCTAGCAGCTAAATTCCCAACACAGGAATATCTGAAAACACATCTTGAGTGTCTCTTTGTATGAGGCTCATGATCACTTGGGATGAGCTGTAAAAATGCACTGAAGTTTTGAGAGAGCCTGCATGGTAAAAAGTCATAGTTAAACTGTTGTGGGTTGTCTGCCAGTAAATTCCCTTCACACAACCAGGAACAAACATTCTGAGTGCTGTCATGCTGTCTAATGTGGGAATTAGTTTTCTGTAAAAAACTCTGTAGGTTGAGAGATCACATCCAGGTGATCTTTCCCATTAACAGAGGCTGACTGTAGCCTGCATTTTACATGGAGAAATAGCTCAGTTTGTAGTGAGAGGTGAGTATTTTCAGAACCCTGTAGCTTCATTGTCTTAAATAGATTTCTATTTTAGAGCTAAAACTCCAAACTTGGGAGTTGCTTTCTAACTTTGGTCTCTTGCTGTCTCTGTTTTTTACAGGAATTCATTGACCAGTTTCAGGTGTTACTGCCCAAAAATGCCAAAGCCTCCAAGGAAGACATCTGTGCTTATTTGAATAAACTAAAGCTGAATGAAAACTACTATCAAATAGGGAAGACCAAGGTCTGTGAAACTTTCTGTAAGGCAGTAAGAACCACTGCTGTACACTCCAAATTCAGTGCAGTTCATTTACAAATGTTACTCTTCTCTGTTTTATGTACCCAGATTGGCTATTTTACCTCTTGCAAGTGGTGACACAGAGGTTGTACCTGACCCCTTGGTTTTGATGCCAACCTGGTTTTTTGACTACACTACAAATCCACGTTATATAGATAGTTTGGGAAATTGTTGCTATTGGCATTTGTCAAACAGATCAATGTTTACATTTTGAAAGGGTTCTGTGATTTGAAGGCTATAAGGACAGGTGTAAGTTTTAGAATCCAAGCTCTGAAATTTAAAAGGATTTTTATCTTTTGGGCAAGCTGTCAGCCAGTAAGGCTTGGTGCAGTGGTACCAAACCATTACCCTATCTGTTATTATAGTTCCAGTGGGGGCTGAAAGGAGTTAACTCCTTGATGAACTCTCCTTTAACTGAGCAGGTTTTTATGAAAGAGGCTGAACGACAGATACTACAGGATACACTACACAAAGAAGTGATCAGGAAAATCATCCTCCTTCAGAGCTGGCTCAGGATGGTTTTGGAGAGGAGACGCTTTCTCAGGATGCGGCAGGCAGCCATTGTTTTACAGGTATCTTTGAGAACACCAATAACTGTTGTTATTTTCCTAATAACAACAAACCAAGCCTGTCATGGGCACTCCCCACCTCGAGGCAGCCCTCCCTCAGCTCAGAACGTCCCTTGCAGGCGTGCTGGCGCTCGCGCCGTGTCAGGATGGGCCTGCAGAGGAACAACGCTGCCATCGAGATCCAGGCGGCCTGGAGGCGCCACCGGCAGAGGAAACGCTTCCTGCAGCTCAGGAGGAGCATTTGTCTCCTGCAGGCCCTGGTCAGGGGGCACCTGCAGAGGAAGAGGTAAAGGGGAAGGAGCAACGTGGCATGAAAACATCAATTCATCACCTGGCTTCACCTGCCAAGCTCAGTTTCTGTGGTGGGGTGACTTAGTCAACAACTTGATAAATTGTTGCCCAAGGAAGTTGTGGTTGCCCCTGGAAGTGTCCAAGGCCAGGTTGGGTGGAGTTTGGAACACCCTGGGATAGTGGAAGGTGTCTCATCCCCATGGCAAGGGGCATGGCAATGAGATGATCTTCAAGGTGCCTCCCAAGCCAAACCATTCTGGGATTGTATGAACTTTAAGGCAGTTACTGCCTTGTGATATTTCAGTCAGTATCAAGTGGTCAGTGGAGTGTGGACACTGGATAAGTGCTCAGGATTTCAGCTTTATTCAGCTCAGCTGCACTGGTGCTGCCAGTCCTGCCACCTCCCTGCAATCCCAAACTGTAGTTTGGGCCTGTGCTGCTATTTGAGCTGCATTTAAGCAGTTGGTGGGGTTTTTTTGGCCCCTGGGCATTAAGCATTTGTGTTTTCATATTAAAAATTCTTAACAGATACCAGAAGATGGTTCTAGAAAGGCAGAAAGCTCAAGAAGAGCAGAAGGAAATGCAGGAAGATGAAGACAAAGAGCAAGATACGAGCAAGACGTCCAACATAGATGAAGATAAGAACAAGGATGAGCAGAGTGAGCCAGCAACAGATGTGAAACACGAGTCAGAGACAGATCACGCTGTTGAAGATAAAGATCAAGCTCAGAATGAGCAAGCTGAAAAGCTGAGCTCGTCTGAGAAAAGCCAGAAGCACACGGTGGAGGGCTCGGAGAGAGCGAGCAACAGCCGGGAGAAGCGGGAATCCCGCCGGCAGAGGGGGCTGGAGCACAACGACTTGCAGAACAAGCATGCGCTCCTGTCCTTGGAGGGACCGTCTGCATTGTGCCACGAGGAGCAAACTGTTTCTGAACAAGCCCTGGAAAGTGCTCCAGAGACAGAGAAATCCACAGCACAAGAAGATAATGCCCTTCAGGGAAGCAGTGAGGGAGAGAAAAGTCCAAGTGAAGAAAAAACTCTTTCAGATACTCCACCATCAAGTGAGATAAAAGAAAGTGATTCTGTTCCTGAGCAACCACCTGGATCAGAGGCAGAGGACAGGGCAGCTGATAGAACAAAACCACAACAGAATCAAAATAACCAAATAAAAAGCAGCCAAAGCTTTACCTGCCCTGAAAGGCCCACAGATCTTGCACTGAAAGTTCACAGCACACTGTCTGCTGGTGGCAGCTTTCATGGCCCTGCTGACTGCTGGGCAGAGAGAAACAGGAGGCAGAGGGCAGCCAAAGACCTGGACAGCAACACTTCTGCAATCCAGAGATATGTGGATGACCCAGAGAAGCTAAAGTACAAGAGAGAGAAGTGGAAAGGCAAGAGGCAGTCTGACTCTGGCCAGAATGATGTGCTGAGTCAGTCTCTGGATGGAAGGATACGTGTGGATAAGTCTCCTCAGGATCAGCTAGAGTAAGGGCAGCTTCCTTTTTTATCACTGATAAAACAGGTATCTGTAATGTTTAAAAATCAATGGAGGACTCCTGAGAGCCTGTACATTTGGGCCATGTTGTGGGAGCACATGGGGCTGTGAGCAACTCCTGCTTTTCCTTGGCTCCCAGCCCTGCAGTGAATCTGGATGGGCAGAATGTTTTCAGAAGCTCACAAAAGCTGCAAAGCCTGCCTGGCTGTGTTAAAAGAAGGAGTCAGGGCATTAGTTGAAATAGTGTCTGGAGTTTATTTTCATGTGTCTTTTACCCATTGAAAACAAGATTTTAGTGACCTGCAGCTTGCAAGCATCATCCCTCTGATATGGCAGGAAATCTGACATTCCCATGCTTTTTCACTTCTCCAGTACATTTTGCATGTAAAAGTAAATTGCAAGGGCTGACTCAGATGTAGTGTTGATATGTGGGTTATTTAAAAGATGTGAAGAGTCCACAGACTTTATTAAAATATATATTCTGAAACTTCTCTTACTACAGGAAGAAGGGGAGTTCAGCTTCATTAAGTGACCTTTCAGCACTGGCCCAGACTGTTGCCATGAACCAGGTACTGATGCTATTGTGCATATTTATACTTAATTATTGTTTATAAATATTAAAGATTTGTGAATAATTGTCTGTAGTGTATTTGTGTGGCTTCAGGTTGATTTTGGTTTTGTTTGATACCAGTGTAAAAATAATCATCAGGAAATATTTGAAAATATATTTTTTAATAAATGGATCTTTGATCAAAGCATTGGCTCTTGTATTAGGAAGCTAATATTGGATAAAGTGTTTTGTCTTGATGAAGTAAACTTCACCATTCTAGCTTTTAAACCATTTAAAGAATCTGTGTCACTCAAAATGCAGTTTCTGACCCCTCCTCTCTCCTGTAGCTGTCACCAGAGCCAATTGAAGAAGAAAAAGGCAACAAGAAATGCCCAGTGCAGAAGAAGCCCAGTGACCACTTCCCCAGCTCGGACACGGCCGCTGCCATGCAGCCAGCGAGTCAGCAAGGGGATGCCAAGTATGGCTTGTGTGTGTGACTGGCCTGCCTTTCAGAAAATGGAAAAAAAATAGATTTTCCATTGGTTCTTGAGTTGGACACCTTGATTGTGCAGAGCACAAGCTGGGATCAGCTACACCAGTGGCTGTGTTGCTGCTTCGTGTTGCCCTGAGCGTGATATCTGAGCCTGCTGAGGAACAGATTCTCTGCTTGCATAACACTTTCTGTGAAGTGGTTCTTTTTAAAATAAGAACCAACTTACAGCTGGGATTAAAGGTTCATGTAGTGTAATACAACACCAGTAGAAAAGCTGAAGAGCCCAGCAAGCATGTATTGCTGCTTCCCTGGCCTGCTCCAGCCTCTGGCATTCTGCAGCCCAGAGACTTCCTGAGCCAGAAGTGATGTTGTGGATATGTGAGGTGCTGTGTGTGTGCTCTGGTCTTGTAAATACCAGAAACTCCACAAGTGCTTTCACATTGTCTTTCCTTTTTTTTGTGCTGCTCAGTTTTTCTGCAGGTTGGGCCTTAAATATTCCCCATAGTTGTGAATCCTGTTGTGGGTTATTGTTAAGAGCCTGTTCTTGTGGCAGAGCCAGCTTCCATTCCTAACGGGACAGACTTGTATCTGCTTTTGTATTCAGGTCTGCTTTCAAAAGCCCTTTGCGGAGACTTTTGGGGAAAAAGCCAGACAAGAAAATTGCAAAGGAGAGTCCTGATGTGATTGAGGAAGGAGATGGCCTCTCCCTGGTGTCTTGTGTCCTCTTTACAGACACAGGAGGTGTCCAGAAAGTTTCAGAGGGTGAGTTTGGTGGTTTAACCCTCAGCACAGTGCATCTTCCTGTGAGGAAACAAATCCTGCAGAGTTCCCTCACCCTGCCTGAGCATCCAGATGCCTTTCTTTGGCAGGTTCCTCGGGGCAGCCAGGCCGGCCCCAGGCTGGGAAGGAGAGCAGCAAAGCCAAGAAGAACAGAACCATAAAGATCAGCAAGATCTCCAGCGCGTCCCAGAACTGGCGCGCGTCCATGGTGCGGGAGATTGCCAACGCCAACGAGCTCAAACACCTGGATGAGTTCCTCCTGAACAAGGTGAAAGCTCCCAGCCATGAAAATTCAGACCTTTGTTCATTGCTTATGTAGTATTTTCAAGCCTGCTGGTCTAGGTGCAAGTTGTGTTATAATTTAAAGAAAAGGGAATTGATGGGATGGTTTGACTGAGTTACTCTGCATTAGGGCCCCTTCTGTTCTTTTCCTCAAGTCACTGAATGCCTAATATTGCATTAAATACAATACAGGGCATTCATGTTAGTTCTTTGTTTACAAATGAGTGGGCAGCAAAACTTGTATTAAAAAACCAGCAAAAGTTGTAAATAGAGAGTTCTCTAATGCCCAGCTATCCAACTCTACTGTTTTGTATCATCAGCACAGGGCATTAAAAAAATGTTGTTTTAAATAATTGGACTGGTCACAAATGACTAAGCCCAGCCACTGAAGCTTAAGTCTGTTCAGATGTTCTTTTTTTAACAAAATCTGATGCAGATGTATTTTTTTCTAGATCAATGACTTACGCTCCCAGAAGTCTGGTGTTGAATGTTTGTTTTTTGAAGCCACAGAGAAGTTCAGAGGAAACATCAAGACCATGTACTCTGCTCCTGTAAGTAGTAAGTCTCAATCAAGGGAAGTTGGCAGGCAATAAATGAGTTGAGTGTGCAGGTTAAAGGCTTGGCCTGCAGCTCTTCAACAAAGCACTTCAGCAATTCTCAGCACAGAATTCAGAGCTGAATGTTAGACTCATTTTACAGCTCTGCTGTAATCTCAAGCAGCCTGCTTTGTTTTCCTTTGCTCATTCACTCAGCCATAAATTTATTTTTAGAAATGGATGGATTTTGCTGTCTTCAGCCTCCTAATGCTGAAGAGAGGAGCCAACAGCTTTTCCAATATTCTTCTGACACTGCCTTGTGTCAGCCAAGTGCTGTTGGACAGTGCAGGAGGGAAGTGTGTTAACTTGTTTCTGTCATGGGCTGTTATCTTTGTCTTTGATCATGGCTGTGCTTTTTCACCTCTGAGCTTAAGTACATGAAAATATGAAACTGTCTCAACAGTATTAAAAAGGAATGTCTGACAAGTATTTTTCCTTCTTTAGAATGGACAAATCCATGTTGGCTATAAAGATCTGGTGGAAAATTACCAGCTCCTAGTTACAAACCTGGCCAAAAAAAGGGAAGAGAAAGAAGTCAAGCTGGTTTTGAATCTCTTTCTATCCCTTCTGGATGAATTCATTAGAGGATATACAAAGAAAGAGGAACCTGAGCAGCCCAAGGTATGAAAGTTGTTCTGTTGCTGGTTTATGGTGTGATGAAACACTGTTGCTCTGTTAATTTAGAGGACGTGTGTTATCTCAAAACCCTTTTCCATGGCATTCTTAATTATTTGGGAAACACTTGCCATAAACACATCACGTGTGTAACAAATTCTGATTGCTCTTACACCTTTATGGAATTGTTGTTTTTTAAACTTAATATTTTCAGAATCTGAAAGTGTGCATTTTCTTTGGTGAAAACGTAGGAGTTCTCTGGAGGTTTGAGAGATGGAGTTGCTTTGTCATCAGGCAGTGAGCTCAGCTGGTTTTTAGGAAGTTGATAGTGTGAGCTCAGACAACCCTCAAACCCAGCTGAAGCTGCAGGATAGTGTCTCAAGGTCTGGAGGTGAAGTAAAGCCTGGGAAACTCAATAAAGGGAGAAAAAAAGGAATGGGATGTCTGAATTTCAAAGACTAAGGCCAGGTTTGTTTCCCTTTGCAGCAAACCAAAGCCCAGAAGAAGAAACGGAAGCAGGATCGTGCAGTAAGTGTTTTCTTTCTGCAATAACCCAAGTCCTCAGGTGCACTCACAGCACACAAACACCCTCTGAAGAGCTTGATTTTGTACTGACATTCTGGTTTGTTTTGCATGCTCATTCACTTACCTCTTTTATGAAGATGTGACAATACAAAACCAGTTTTCACAAAGCAGAGATCTTTCTCATGCAGTGATAGGTGGGATCAAGCATTTTCTTGCTTGTCCATAGCTTCTTTTAAAGTCTAAGGCTTTTTCAAGCATGGGCTGTTTAGAACAAATACTAAATATTTATAACAAAACTACTACAGCTCTTTTACTGATGAACTTTAAGGCAGCAAGTCAATTATGAAATGTTCCAGCAAACTTAAGTTCCTTAAGATAGGGTGAAATTTGGTTTCAGGGTGAAATGATTGTAAAATAAAAGGTGGAAATGGATGGTTTTGTTAATAATAATAGGCTTTTATAAAAATAATCATAATAATTTTTAAAAGGCAAGAAGAGTTCACTGGTTCCTTGCTGTCTCTCACCAGATTGAAGAGCACAATGGCCACGTGTTCACAAATTACCAAGTGAGCATCCGGCAGTCGTGTGAGCACTGCTCCTCCTACATCTGGCCCATGGAGAAGGCCTGTCTGTGCAGTGGTGAGTGAACAGGCCATGTAGAAAAGGGGATTTAGGGTACAAAGTGTGATTTAGATGCTTGTAACAATTGCTCCTTTCTCTAGTGTGCAAGCTGACTTGTCACAAGAAGTGCATGTCCAAAATCCAGAGCAGCTGTACCTCTTGTGGGAAAAAGGTAAGGCCTGTGGATGTGGGATGGGGTTCTGTGCTACCAGAAGTGCTGCATGTAAAATCCTGCATTTATTTCTCAGTAAATGAACAGTGGATGCCCAGATACTGAATAAAAATGGCTTAAACAGTTCCCTCCTCAGTGAGAGAGGGACCCTCTGCAGAAGCAGCATTCTCCTAGGAGGTGATGCTTGAGCTAATTTAGGAACCCTTCTCACAGAGTGTGTGTGCAGTGTTGGCCAAGCTGATAAAGCAATCCTGCAGCGTGAACCATAAAGGCTCTTTAGTGCTGCAGCTCAGCAAATCTGCCTTCTGATCCAAGGCAGAATAAAGCACTCAGCTGTAGCTTCTGGAAGCATGAGGTGGTTGTGGCAGGGAGGGGGCAGTGAGCTCACACTGTGTCACCCCAGGGCTCACACTGTGTCACCCCCAGGGCTCACACTGTGTCACCCCCAGGGCTCACACTGTGTCACCCCAGGGCTCACACTGTCACCCCCAGGGCTCACACTGTGTCACCCCAGGGCTCACAGCTGTGTCACCCCCAGGGCTCACACTGTGTCACCCCAGGGGCAGTGGCTCACACTGTGTCACCCCAGGGCTCACACTGTGTCACCCCAGGGCTCACACTGTGTCACCCCCAGGGCTCACACTGTGTCACCCCAGGGGCAGAGGGCTCACACTGTGTCACCCCAGGGGCAGTGAGCTCACACTGTGTCACCCCAGGGGCAGTGGCTCACACTGTGTCACCCCCAGGGCTCACAGCTGTGTCACCCCAGGGGCAGTGGCTCACACTGTGTCACCCCCAGGGCTCACACTGTGTCACCCCCAGGGCTCACACTGTCACCCCAGGGCTCACACTGTGTCACCCCAGGGGCAGAGGGCTCACACTGTGTCACCCCAGGGGCAGTGGCTCACACTGTGTCACCCCCAGGGCTCACACTGTGTCACCCCAGGGCTCACACTGTGTCACCCCAGGGCTCACACTGTGTCACCCCAGGGGCAGAGGGCTCACACTGTGTCACCCCAGGGGCAGAGGGCTCACACTGTGTCACCCCCAGGGCGAGCAGGACACCGAGTCCCTGCGGGGACACTTCGGGGTGTGCGTGAGCGCCCTGACCAGCGAGAGGAACTCGGTGCCCGTGGTCATGGAGAAGCTGCTGGAGTACGTGGAGATGCACGGGCTCTACACTGAAGGCATCTACAGGAAGTCAGGATCAGCAAATCGCATGAAGGAGCTGAAGCAGATGCTGCAAGAAGGTCCAGGCAGTGTTGACTCTTTGCATGTCATTGCATGATACCACTTTTCCCTGCAATTCTCTTCTACCTGAAAGTATCTGTCACTTAGTGTTTAAAAGCAGCTTTTTGCTGACTGTTCAGCTGTATTAGTTTTGTTGGCTGCCAAAAGGTGTTTAATACCTTTAAATTACTATCTTCTGCCTATTTTTAACTTCTGAATTGTCCACTTAGTAGGTATGAAATATTTGTAAAGTTTCTTTGCACTGCTGTACATACTGAGTGTCCAAGAGGCCTCCTTACACGTCATTTGGGAATTTATGATCATGGTGTTTGTATTCTAGCAAGATTAAAATCTCTTTTCCTGGATGTTGAATTCCAGAGTGGCTTTGATAGAAGCTGTGAACCTCATGTTCCCCAACACCTTGGCCATCATGTTATCAGATTTATCAATTCAATTCAGAAGTTAAAAATAGGCAGCAGATAGTAATTGGGATTCTGTGAACAGGAGATTAGAATGTTCCTAATCTTATTTCTATGGGGTCTCATTGTGTGCATCAAAGGAATGAACTGCTCTAAATAAAACATTTCATTTCAGACCCAAACTCAGTGAAACTGGAGAATTACCCTATTCACACCATCACAGGGATCCTTAAGCAGTGGCTGAGGGAATTGCCAGACCCACTGATGACCTCAGCACAGTACAATGATTTTCTCAGAGCTGTAGGTAGGTTTAAAAACCATTCTTCAAACATTTCTGCTTTAACTCATTGTGTCCTTGGGAAAAGAAATTCTTAAGATGCTCATGCTGACTAAACAGCTCCTTCCAGTGCACTTAAAACAATGATTTTAGACATTTTACATGAAACACTCCTCAGGGAATTTCTCCTCTAGCTTCATCTTGGATTCTTTTTTTTTATTTTTAATGTGTCACTTACAGCTGCTCTTTCTAAAAACAGAATAAGGATGTCAACAAGTTTTCTTTCAGGAAGGGTTTTTCTTGTGTTATTCTGAACGAGATCTGGATATGCAGATACTTTTAATACCTAGATTCTTTTAACTTCAGTGGGATTAAGGCACCCTAGATGGTGTTGGAGGTCTCAGTGTGACACTTGATGATTGCTAACAGCAGCAGCTCCTGAAAATGCAGGATAATTGCAGTGCCATGAGGGGGACTTCAACAGTCAGTTATAATAGTTCCTAAATGAAATGACAGTAAGACTTATCAGAATTTAGGAATTTTAAGCTTTCCACTAGCCTAGCACAGCAATTAATATCTTTTGTTTTCTCCCTTTGTGCAGAACTGCCAGAGAAACAGGAGCAGCTCTGTGCCATTTACAGTGTCCTGGAGAAGCTCCCACAAGCCAATCACAATACCTTGGAACGACTCATCTTCCATCTTGTCAAGTAATGAGTTTAATTTCTTCATTTGTAGAGAAACTGTGATTCTGAATGCTGCTTGGAAACTTTCTAAAGTGTTAAACACCTTCAGTGTCAGTGTGGGGATTGTGCTGCTGCTTTGGAAATGAAGGAATTGAAGCTGGTAGTTGTGCTCACAAACAGGTGTGTGGTTACTTCTACACCTGGTGTATTTGGATCAAACCAGGGAAGAGCAGCTTTGAGGACAAGGTAGATCTCAAAGCCTTGGTGAATCATCCAAGCACCAGGATTTAGACAGAGAGCTTGTAGTGAACTGAGCATGAACATAGGCAAGTCCCAGGAGCAGGGATAAATGGTGCTGGGAAAGGGCTGCTCTTACCCAAGAAACCTGGGGATTTCCAAGCAGCCCTCTGAACATGGGCAAAAGGGGTTTTTGAAGAGAAGATGCTGAATCACCAACATGCTTTTGAGAAGCTGCCAGACTGGCTTAGCCTGGGTGACTTCCTGATAGTAGAAGGTATGAAATAATTGTAAAGCTTCTTTGGGCTGCTGTACATACTGAGTGTCCAGGAGTCCTCCTTATGTCATTTGGGAACTCTGGCACCGGTGTTTGTATTCCAGCAAGGTTAAAATCTCTTTTCCTGGACGTTGCATTCCAGAGTGTCTTTGATAGAAGATGTGAACCGCATGTCCCCCAACGCCTTGGCCATCGTGTTTGCTCCGTGCCTCCTGCGCTGTCCCGATACCTCTGACCCCTTGACCAGCATGAAGGATGTCTCAAAAACAACCATGTAAGTTTTGGCAGCTGCTGAGAAGCAGTGTTTTGGAATGGGATGGAAGGTCAGCACCACTAGCTGTGTTTCTTACAACTTGATTTGTATCAAGCTGAGATGCTGAGGTTCAGGAGTTGTTGAATTCTAGCTCTGCCAGTGCTGCCAGCTCATACACCCCTCTCAGACCTTCCACCTGTCTCTGTTTTACTAAGCATGAAGTAGGATGATCTATAAGTCTTTATTATCAGGTTTGTGTTTTACATCAAGAGAATCTATTTTTTGGGGGGCTTGTACCCTAATTATTTATTTTGCTGAGATACAAGGCATAATAAAAAATATGATATAGAATTAAGCTGTCTCCTGCATACTTAGAACCCCTGATGATCTCTTTGTTCTTTGAATTGAAGAAGGTTCTGTCCTTGACCCTCTCTGTTCTCCTCACCCTCCAGTAACTCTGGCTGTGAGAGCCCCTCACCATCCTCACTGGCCTTACCTCTGCCTCCAGTGGAAACAGAGTTTGAAAAATGGCAGCTTTTTGTAACTTCTTACTGACCCTGGGGCCATAGAGCTGGAGAAGGGCAGTTTGCAGGCTCGCTGTGTCTCTGCCAGCCTGTGCCAGCCCAGGGACAGCAGGCAGAGGCAGCTGTGGTAATGTGTGTGTGCTCACCACTGTGTCCAGCCAGCATGGGAGGCTCTGGTGATCCCAGGAGGAACATGTGCCATTACCTGTCACCATTACCTGTCCTGCTGTGCCTGCTGTGTTGGACTCCCACCTGTTACCATGCAGGGCTGCTGTGAGGGGTGGGCTGGGACACTGTGTGACACTCCAGCCACGTGTGTGTGACAAACACCCCCAGCCAGGAGCAGCATCCCACCCCACCATGGCTCTTTCACAGCCTTCAGGGTATGAGGCAGCTCAGTAACACCTTGCCTTTCTCACAGGTGTGTAGAGATGCTCATAAAGGAGCAGATAAGGAAGTACAAGATAAAAATGGAAGAAATCAATCAGCTGGAAGCAGCAGAGAGCTTTGCTTTCCGACGGCTCTCGTTGCTTCGGCAGAACACGGTAAGTGTTGAAATAAAACTTCCAAAATAAATAAAAATTCCAAATAAATCTTCCACCAACTTCTTGGGGAGGGAGTGCTACTTCTCCTGTCCATCCATTCAGTGAGTCAAAAATCAGCTAGAAAAAAGCAACTGCCCAAAGCTGTAGGTAGGAGCTCATATTCAGCTGCACTGAAGTTCTGATAAATGAAGGGTGCAGGGGTGGGAATCTGTTTTGTACTGGTCAAAATCTATTCCTATGTAATTCTGTTAGTGGAGCTAAGATTAAGTGTCTGATATGGCAAAAGAGTTCCTTCACTCCAGAGTTGGCTGGGGTGCAAAAACATGCTGGATTCTAGGAGGGAAAATACACTTACTCTTTGTTTTCGTTGTACTGATTAATACAAACCAAACTGTGTCTGATCAGAGGCTGCATATAGTGAATTTGGTCTCCATCTCTCCCTAGCTCTGGCCTATAAAACTTGGGTTCTCTTCCCCTTATGAGGGGAAGCTGGTATGTACAACTGCCTGGCTCCAGTGCATGGGTTTTTCTTGTGGTACTCTTGCATGACTAAAATACTTACACAGGTTGTAACTCAGTTTTAAACACTCTTGAACAATCAGGACTGCATGTACTGGTGCAACTTCCTCCCCAGACTGCATGCAGGGCTGCTGGGCTCTTCTGTCATCACCTGATATTTTATAAACACTGTGTGTATCTTACATTGGATGTAATAATATTACTCATTAAGTGACTACTAAAACTAAGCTGAGCCTCACAGCTCAAAAAAAGGTAACAAAATCCTGGATATCAGGTGAACAGGAAATTTTCTTACTTTTTGAAACATTTGTGTGGGTAACTAACAGCTCTTCATCAATTCCATCAGCCTCTCCTTTGACCCACTCATTTGTCTTCCGCTCTGAAACTTGCAAGTGGGTGTAGCTGCTTGTGACTGACAAGTGTTCATGTGAATCTGTCTTGCAGAGTAAAAGTTCTCAGGTCAAAGGAAGTGACAGTGGCACCTCAGAGCTGGACTCTGTGCACGAAGAGGAGGATGTTTCTGAAGCCAACCGGGAGAAGGAGATTCTCATCGATCGCATACAGTCAATAAAAGAAGAAAAGTAAGTCCCCCTCTACCTGGTAAGGCCATGCCCTTTGCATGGAGGTAAGGCAGGAATTCTTTTGTCTAAAATTATCTAACTCTGTTCTGTAAGGCCTTGATGAGGGGGAAAATGAAAATACAAAGCATTAACTGAGAGAGAACACCATGAGCATTAATAGTTAATGGCTCCATGCTTTAGCTCTGAACACGAGCTGGGTGAAGGTGCTGGTGTCAGAGGTGCTGCAGCCTGTGTTTGGTGCAGGGAGGACATCACTTACCGCTTACCTGAGCTCGACCAGCGAGGCTCTGACGAGGAAAACGTGGACTCGGAGACCTCTGCGAGCACAGAGAGCCTGCTGGAGGACAAACCAGGCCGGGTGGATACCGAAGGTCAGTATTAAGGTAGTAAGTGCTTTTTTTTATTCTACATCTTTCATTGCATACAGCCAAGTGACCAAGCATTATCTGGTCACAGTGGCTCGTATTGAGTTACATTTTAGGCCTGCTATCAGTCTCTAAGTATCTTCTTTCTTTAAAGCAATTATTGGATTAGACTGCTGTGCTCAGAGCTCCAGCGTGCCTGCCAAAGACATTTGCAAAGTGCCTTCTCTCCCGCAAACCTCTTCAGATTCTTACTCTGCACCCCTGGCTTCAAGGCGCAGATACTCCTTAACACTGTCCAAGATTAAAGTGCCCCGTCGAACTCCAGTGATGCCAACAGCAAACATAAAACTTCCTCCCGGGATGTTCAAATGTACAGAATCCCAGGACGAGGCTTTCTCTGAGGAAAAGTGTCAGAGGGTGCAGCGGAGGGAGCAGCCAGCCAGGCGGACTGACAGCATCCACTCGGTGTACATTGCACAAGGGTCTGCACTGGCCCACGCTCAGGAACTCGGGGATGAATACGAACCCACAGCAAAACTCAAGCGCAGGTTCTCAGACCCCTACTCTCACATTCCCTGTGTGGAGAAGTGAAATTCTTCAGCGCTCTGGACTCTTCTTGAAGTTGACCACAGCTTTGGCTTTAACCCTTTGAGGGCTGTGATCTTGTTCATGGTCTTTTAAGGGGCTGCGGGGAAGGCAGCCCAGAAATGTACAGTACTGTAAGGGTTAAGCAAGGTTGTTTAAAGCAAATATTCTCCACTTTAAATTAAAACCTTGCAAAGAAGGTAAAGCATCATGTTGAATAACATGGATCGAGTGTACAGGAACCAAGCCCCCCCATTCCGCTGCTGTGCCTTTTCCATTTGCCTTACAATGGGTTCTCACGGGACCAACAGTCAGTTTAGGTCAATGTGTGTTGCCTTAATGTTTTGTATGGTTTTATGACAATTTTCTCTATGGTTTACAGAGCTGGTAATAGCCTTAATTGAGACCAACATGTATAAAAACGTTTATTAAAACATTGCACTTTTAAAAAATACATGTGGTAGTTGATCGATGTGTGTCTAACAAGTAATTTAGTCCGAAGGAAGCCTTTACTCGGGGTACTGTTTTTATTAAGTAGCGAATAAAGACGGGGGAAAGGGAAGCTCTGACGCTGCTGTGGTGTCACAGGGGAGGGTTTTGGTGCTCCTGGAGCAAAGGGGAGCTCCCGTGCTGGGTGTGCTGTGCGAGCCGCCTCACCTCTGTTCGGGAACACACCTGAGGGCGAGCTGCCGTCCCACAGCAGTGCCTTGAGCCCACGGCCATGCCCCGGCCCCTCACGGCCTGCACCATCTTGGAGTGAGGGAAGAGCTCAGCTCGGCCACAGCGCTGCCCCGAGCCGCAGCTGCCTCTCCATGCCCGTGTGCACGCCTTAGATTTGGGGTAATTTGGGGGAGGTTTCTGGGTTTTTTAAATAAACCGGGGAGGTCACAGCCCGCCCAGCGCTTCCCGCCCCTCCCCGCGCTCCGCCCCAAGATGGCGCCCGGCGCTGAGGGGAGTTCCGGTGCCACCATGGCGGCGACGCGGCTGGAGCTGAACTTGATTCGGCTCCTGAGCCGGTGCGAGGCGCTGGCGGCGGAGCGGAGGGACCCCGAGGAGTGGCGGCTGGAGAAGGTGAGGCCGCCGCGCCCCGCCCGCCCCTCTGCCCCGCAGCACCGCGTCCGGCCCCTCAGTAACCGAGACGGAGCGCTGTGGTGTTACACCCACAGCCTTTGCCGGACAGGGGATTTCTCCTTAATGCTGTCATGTAAAATCTTGTTTTTGCCCTCAGTATGTGGCTGCTCTGGAGGACATGCTCCGGGAGCTGAAGAAGCAGTCCAGGTGAGCGCCCTGAGCCCCTGGGTGCCTGTTGTGGGTTTGTGCCAGGGGGAGGTTTAGGTTGGATACCAGGAAAAATTCCTTCAGTGAAAGTGGTTAAACACTGGAAAAAGCTGCCCAGGGAAGTGATGGAGTCACCATCCCTGGAAGTGTTAAAAAAGAAAGCAGATGTGGCACTTTGCAATATGGTTTAGTGGGAATGGGGGGATTCAGTGGGAGGTTGGATCTGGTGATTTTGGAGGTCTTTTCCATTAATGACACCGTGATTCAATAATCTCTTACCTGTAAGTCAGCCATAGCTCACAAACACTACAGCAGTGTGTCTTACCTGTGGAAATACATATTCCTTGAGCCCTCCCTGCTTTGGAAGAGGTGATTTGCAGAGGATTTACAAGTGTATTCCCAACCTGAGGCTATTTCTGCTTCTTTGAAAAACCATGTGGCTTTTTGTTATTATTTCACTTGGAAAGTAGAACGCTAGAAAATGCTGATAATTTGTGATTTTGATGTTGTTATCTTTCCATTCCAACAGCAAGCCAGCCCCTGAACTGCTGAATGAATACTCTCGCAAAGTGGACTTCCTAAAGGGACTCCTAGAAGCTGAAAAATTGGTAAGATTTACTAGTTCAGCTTGAAAAGAGACATTGGTAGAGGATAAAGGAGCCGACTCTTAGCAGGGATTAATCCAAATTGGGAGCTCCCACACCTCAGGGGGCTCCTGCTGATAGCCCTGGGAGAGGTGCCAAGGTTACATTTAAAGGGAGGTGGAAACCTAAAGTAGATAACATTTTACTGACCAATAAGATAAATTAAGGTGTGAATACTAGGAAATGGATATTTAGGAGAAACACTTGGGGGGTTGACCTCTGGTCTCTGGCTGATCACTTGATGTCCTAGACTGAAAGTTCTGGATGGAGGGGATGGGATGCTGAGTGAGTGACACAGAGCCAGGGTGGGGATTTGGGGAAGGGAAGGGATTGCACGGGTAGAGGGAGGGGAAACAATCTGGGGTAAACAATTTGGGAAAAATACGGGGATACAAAACTAAAACTATTACAAAGTATAACAACACACTACAACAGGGAAGCAGCTGTGGGATACAAAAACAATACTAATTAGTGAGGGGGATACAAACCCAAAACTAATTACAAAATATTACAAAGTATAAAAGCACACTACAACAGGGGAGCAGCTGTGGGATTGCACCCCCATCCCTGTGGGTCACACCCCAGCTGCCTCACACTGCACAGTGTCACATCCATGACTGCTTTTCCCCACTCCCAGTCTTCATCCACAGAAAAGGCTCTGGCCAACCAGTTCCTGGCCCCGGGGCGCACCCCGACCACAGCCAAGGAGCGAACCCCGGCCACCAAAACCGTGCACCTGCAGACCAAGGCGCGCTGCACGGGCCAGATGAGGAGCGAGCTGCTCGGCACAGTATGTTCACTGCTTCTTTACAGGCTGTCCTGCTTGTGTGCAGCTGCCTCACAAGTGTCCCAGGCTGGGTGGGGAGGCACCTCTTTATCTGTAAATCCTGGGCACGGGCACTCTGCCAGGCCTGTCCTTTATCACTGACCATTTGTAATTTGCTGTTTTGGTTCTCTTTCTCCTCCCCCAGGACCCCCTGGCTGCTGATGGTGAGTTCAATCTGTTGGTTCCTCCAACTGTGTATTACAGAGAGGGGAAGAGGGAGGTCAGGTATTCAATATTTCCCCAAGTCTACTTTTAATTTAGTGCCTCACTTCTTTTCAAGACAACAGATTTTAAAAACAAAACCCCTGACAGATGAAAGCAGAAGCGTTGTTATCAATGGTGGCAGGGACTTGCAGGAAACTCTTTTTGTAGCATTCATGCAGAAACAGACATTCTAATTACAGAATTAGCAGGGGCAATTTATTTTGTGCCTGTTCCCTTCTGCTCTGAGCAAACCATGTGATCCTGGGTGCTTTGAGTAGGTGTTGTTCAGTTCCTCTGGAATACACAGCCATGTTATTCACGTAGGGAACTGGGAGGAATTAATTTGAGGTTTCCATGGCTACTGTTAGAGCGGCTGGAGCTGGGCCAATCTAACGTGTCCTGAAAGAACACCGAGACACACGGGCTGAAACCCTGCCCTCAGGGATGTGATTCAGCTGGGGTTTTTCCCCTCTTTTGATGTTCTGTGTCCTCTTTTCCCTGCAGAAAGCAGGTAGGCATTTGCCACCCATATTCCTTGGGGTAGAGGCTAAGTAGGATTTGGATATCCAAAAATCCCTTAGAGGAGACTTGTTTTTTCAGTCTGTGATTGCATGAGAATTTATAACATGCTAAGCACTTTTTTTTTTTCCAGATTCTGAGGAGTTGAACATAAGGAGGCGAAAGTAAGTCAGAATTTCTCATTCTAGTGCTCAGGGTTTTGGGAACTGTTTTCCCAATGACCTTTAAATCCCTGATTTGCTTTAAATTGGGTAAAGTGTCTGCTTATAGAGACCCAAATACAATGGCTTCAGTTGACTCAATGGGCTTTGTTGTCTTGTAGAGATGTAAAACCTGAGGAAAACCTGTGAGATCAACCCACAAGGAAATGTAAATCCCTTTTTTTCCCTGGTGCTCTTGCAGAGGCCTCCCATCAGACGAGAAGCAGTCGGCAGTGGAGCTGGATGCTGTGCTGCAGCATCACCAGGACATGCAGGAGAAGCTGGCTGAGGAAATGCTCAGCTTGGCTCGCAGCCTCAAAAACAACACCCTGGCTGCCCAGAACGTGATCAAACAGGACAACCAGGTAGTGCACGTTGAGCTGTGGCCCCTCAAGTTTTGCAACCCACAAGGTTCAAGTGCTGATGTGTGAAATCCTGCAGCTTGATTCCTGGTGGGATCAGAGTGGATCTGCAGCTGAATCTTTTCTGTGTTGGGGGAAGCTGCCAGAGCTGGCAGCAGTGAGGCTGACCCTGTTTGCTCTCTTTGCTCCTCAGACACTGTCACACTCCCTCAGGATGGCAGACCAGAACTTCGAGAAGCTCAAGGATGAATCCGACCGCCTGGAACAGCACGCCAAGAAATCTGTCAACTGGCTGCTGTGGATAATGCTGATTGTAGTTTGTTTTATATTCATCAGCATGATTCTCTTCATCAGGATTTTTCCCAAACTGAAATGAAAATTTTATTTTACTTAAAGCTGGCTGTAGTGCAGTGGGAAAGCTCAGCTGGTGTGAGAACTGTCACAGTCTTAGAGGCTGTGCAAGGCCTGCCTTGCATCTCCCAGTGGAGGAAGGCTTTCCTGAGGAAGGCTTTCCACACTTCCATTCTTGTTTACTTGGTGACTCTTGTTGCCTCTTGCAACAACAGTCAGCCTGGGAGGTAAGGATGAGAATTTACACTGAGCTGCTAACAAGTTCTTTAGTGGATAAATACATTTTTAATGTGTTTGTGACAAATGTTATGGCTCCTAAAAGGCATTTAGTCAATACAAAGTTAAATAACAGTTGAAGTCTTACATTCTTTCCTGTGTTCACAGCTTTTCTGTACTGACCTAGGAGCTTGCTGCCAACAGGATATTTAATTTCAGTTCTGTACATACACAGCTGCAGTGTAGAAAGAGAATTCTGCTGTTCAGGTGCTTGCTTGGCTCAGATTCAGAGGACCAACAGGTAAAACTCTTCTCAGGCTCACAGTTTGCCCAGATGGGTATTTGGGACTTGGGACTTCACCATCATCTCCAGCTGAGATTACCACAGGACTGGAGCTGCTTTCTGTGCAGTGTTTGCCTCCCTTTTGTGTGTGCAAATGTTCTCACTTCTCATTGTGGTGTTGGTGCTGTTCCATGAAGGAAACGCCGTGACCCTGCCACCTTCCACGTGTACACACAGTGCTGCAGGTGGCACAGACCTCACCTGTGCAAACACGCTTGTGCTGCAAGATGAGGGCAAAGGAAGGTGGTGTCTTCAAGATGGAAATAATAATTTAAAAAATTCAGCTTTTTTTTTCAGCAAATTATCCCTGTTGTCTTAAGAGCTCACTAAAATAAAACACAGAAAAAAGAAACTCATATTTTTCAAACACTGGTGCTGCTAGAAAAACTTGGAGAGTGTAGTAAAGCAGGGTTTGTGTGACAGCCCAGTGTAGTATGCCACTCACTCATGGATTATCAAATGAATAATTATATTATGAAGTATAGCTTTTAATTCCAGGTACTCAGATATCTGCAATGTACTCCTGTTCTACTTACCTTGAATTTAGAGAAATTTATAGTTGTAGCAATCAATTTATGGACATTTCTGCTTTTCCCAGTTGTTTTCCTTCATGTGTATGTAATGGTTGACATTTCACTGTGCTTCATTAGTCAATGCTGTGTCACCAAATTATTTTTTCAATTCTGATTGTTCACTACTTTCCCTGCAGGCATTTCAGTGCCAAGCCCTTCTCTTAGAGGCTGAGGGTGATGCTGGAATGGTTTTTGTGTGTGAGATTTTGGGATGCAACATTAATGCTTCATTGTCCATAACACTGTCCTCTTTATTACTTGAAATAAATTATTTTTTTCTAGTTTACAAAAGATTTGGTGCATCACTGCAGACAAGTTGAAAGCTGACTTTTGCTATCAGCAAAATGGATTGCCTGTAACTTTTTGGCACTTATAAATTAGGAAATTTTTGATTGGAAAGACATGAAAGGGAGCTGCTAGTGATAGCTTGTCTCCAAGAAAACGTCCTCTACTCCAAGTCACAGATACTGATTTACAAAGAAGCCTGCATGGAGTGAGTTCAGAAACCACTTAACTTTGCCCATTGACATTTCATGGGTGTTTGTTGTGTTGAATGAGCACCAGGAGTGAACCCTGGAACACTTTTTGTTATCTCCAGCAGCCGTTGAGCACTGAGCCTCTGCTTCCTGGGCCTTCTCTCCCAGGTGGAGAAATGTTCCCTTCTCCTCCCAGCCCAACGGATCCCCTGGCCTGCACACAAAGGCTGGGTTGTTGTCTTTGCTTTTCTCGAGTTCATTTAGCAATTGCAGTCATTCAACACCACTTTGAAGATGGGAGCCGGTGCTATTTAGAATAAACAATGACTCAGGGCTTTGTGACATTTCCCAGATGAATGACAGTTTTTATTTTTGACTGACCTGTGGGGGGTGGTGGATGCTCTGCTGCTCCAGCCCTCAGCTCCATTTCGTGGCACAGGGCTCTGTGCAGAATAATACATCTAGAATATGTATAGAAATGGCCTTCTGTGAGAGTTGCTTAACTTTCCCAAAAGCTTGGGAAATCCAGATGGGCAGATGTTTATCAGGCACAGGGTTGGGCCTTGCTTGGTTTCTTGGCAGACTACCTGCTTTGAGAGAGCAAGGAAAATTAAACCAAAACCCTTTTGGAGGCTTGGGTCACGTCAGGCCAGTGGATGCAGAGGTTCAGAGTCTGCAGCAGTGACTCTGGGTCAGTCTGAGCTTTTCTGGCAAACACCCTTGGTGGCAGAGGCTGTGTCACAGTGCTCAGTGTTCAGCAGCGTCCTCAGCACAGATGGGATGGGCTGGAAGGATCCTTCACAGGCTGCTGGTGCAGGAATGGCAGGAGCAGAGGGCAAAGGCTCCTGTGGCTGGGCAGTGCCAGGTTTTGGGCACGTGCTCCCTTGGCTTTTCTTTGCAGCCTGAGGGGCTGTGAGCAGCTCTCCTGCCAAAAGGGAACATCCCATGGAGAGTGAAAAGGAGGGAGTGGGCAGAGCAGGTTCTGCTCCCAGCAGTTCCCTGTGTGACACCCAGTGTCACCTCTCATTGTCTGCTGTAAACCTGCCATGAAAACTCAGAATTGAGTCTTGTGATTTCTAGTTACGATTTAGTTTATTTTACAAAGGAATTCTTCCCTGTGAGGGTGGTGAGGCCCTGGCACAGGGAGCTGTGGCTGCCCCATTGCTGGAAGTGTTCCAGGCCAGGCTGGACGGGGCTTGGAGCAGCCTGGGATAGTGGAAGGTGTCCCTGCCCGTGGCAGGGGTGGGATGGAATGGGCTTAAAGATCCTTCCAACCCAAACCATTCTGTGAATCCAATCACAAGAACTGTAATGGCAGTGCCAGAGCAGCTCGGAGCAGATACTGAAATGTCACAGTCTGCAGCAGAATTCCCAATGTAATTCCCGAGTGCCAGGGCCTGGCATGGGGCTGGCTGGGAGCTCCTGTCCTGACCTGCCCCACTGCTGGGAATCTGGGAGCACTTGTGTCCCACTGAACGGGAGTGACATTAAACCCAACGGCACTAAATCAATACCACCTGTCACATGATGCCACCGTGACATTTCTGGCATCAGCTCTCCCTCTAATAGGAGCTGGAACTGGGAAGCAGCAGCAGTTAGTGAATAATGGATCAGATACGCCTGATTTGTAACATTTACAGAGGGAGGGCGTGTCTCCCAGCGACAGAACAAACCGGTTATCAAACGGGAACTGGGAGTTCTGACTCGTCCAAAACACAAACCCTGAGCAGAGCACAGCACACAGCAGGGCTTGGGAACCCTGGTGCTCCCTCCAAATTAGACTCTGGATCAACAAAAACAGGCATTAGTGTCAAGGAATAACCGAGGAAGGAGGGGCTGGGGTGCCTGTGGATCCGAACGGGTGTGGCTGGTGGCCGTGCTGTGGTCACTGCCCGGCACAGGGTGGCTGATGGAGAGCAGGGAGCCTGGCAGGAGGTTGAGCAAAACACACCTGGGGCTGCCTGAGGTGAGCAGGGAGGCTGTAGGGAAGCATGGAGGTCACATCTGTCTGGCTGTCTCACATCTGGGCCCTGCTCACCAGACCCAGGTTGGGAACGCTGACAGTACTTTGGTTTGTTCAAGCTGAAAACTTTGATGCTGAATTAGAACGAAAATATTCTTACAAGGAATTAAAACTAAGTTGAATATTGCATCACACCCAAAAATCAAACTCACAAAAGCAGAAACCGGACAAAAAAAACAGCTAAAGTGAGGCAGTGCTGCAGTTGGCCATGAAGAGCTGGAATTTACATCCTTCATCTCCAGGGTCTTTGACCTGCATGTAGCAGAGAGATGCCCTCTGCCATTTTCACCCTGGCCAAAATTTGTATTTGCTCATGTAACAATAGAATTCTCCAGAAGGATCTGACAGTGTTTCCTGTTCCAACAGTAAAAAGCTGAGAATTCTGTCCTCAGCACATAAAGTGACCGGATCTCCATCCTCTGAGCCTTCTCCCTGACAGAAGTCACTTATCGGATTTGGTGTGGACGGAAGGAAGGGTAAGAAAGGAACTCTGTCAATCCATGACGTGAAATATTTTATATTAAAAGCTTTGGCCGAGGGTTTTGTGTGACTCTAAACAGGATGAGATAATTTTCCAAGGTCAGCTCTCCTGTGCTCTCAGTGTTGGGCTTAGTCACTGAGAAGTCAATCCTGTAAACCTTCACAGCAACATCCTGCCAGTGATGCAGAGACTTGGCTGTTGTTGGCTTCTGCTGCATCTTCAAAGGGCAGGAGGCTGCAAAACGTGCAAATTGCCTGGTGAGAAATGTGTGAGCAGGAAAAGGGCCTGGCAAATCAATAAACACAGAGCAACCCCAGCCATGGGGTAACCCTTCACCCAGGCAGTTGCAACTTGTTGTTAAGAGAAGGCCACAGTGAACTGGTGGAGCAGAAAGGGGGAATTGTGCCCTCAGCTCAGCCCCAGGCTGCTGTGTGGCTTTGGCTCCTGAACTGGTTTTAAGCAGTTTAGTTCTTAAACCAGAATTGGTACCAATGAACCTTCTTGGTGAGTCAGCTGCTCCAAAGCTCCTTTTGGGCACAAAGTTTGTGTTCCTTGACTATTCTAAAGCTGGTTAATTAATGAGGAACTTTAATTTGTATGGTTTAAGACACACAGCCTGAAACCCACCCATGTGTTCCAGTATATAGAAAAAAAGATGTGTTGGTTCTCAAGGTGTGAAGCTCTCAGCAGCTCCGTTAATTGGTACCAATGAACCTTCTTGGTGAGTCAGCTGCTCCAAAGCTCTTTTTGGGCACAAAGTTTGTGTTCCTTGACTATTCTAAAGCTGGTTAATTGCTGAGGAACTTTAATTTGTATGGCTAAAACCAACCCATGTGTTCTAGTATATAGAAAAAAGCTATGTTGCTTCTCAAGGTGTGAAGCTTTCAGCAGCTCCACGTGTTGGTGGTTGGGAGCTGAGCTGGGTTCTCTCTCCACAGACACTTGTGACAGTACAGGGATGTCAACATTGAAGCTGCTTCACAAAGTCATTGTCCCCACCTGTTTGTGCAAATGTGGCTCCTGCTCCAGGGATGGGCTGCCAGTGCTGAGCAGCACTGATCTGCAGGAGGATCTGGTGGGAACTTGGTACT